TATGAAAATGTACAAGTGACCCCACATTTTTTAGAATTCTGTTTAGGGCAGTGGTGCTTGTCATTCACATTGGGGTGAAAATAAAACAATTTCCAGTGTTGCATTAATATGTTACTTGTAGTAACTACAGTTCCTGTGTGTGTGTTTTTCATGAATACATTTGTATTTCACAATGTGTTTCAGAGTCCTCAGTCAGTAGCAGCTCTCCAGGATCTGGTCCCAGCTCACCAAACAATGGGCCAACGGGAAATGTTACTGAAAACGAGGCTTCAGTATTGCCCCCTACTCCTCATGCTGAGGTAAAACCCTGAGTATTTTGATTCTTTAATAATTGAATTTTTGATTAGCTACCTAACACAAAATAATATTTCTGAGCTGAAGTTTAATATCCAAGTGATATTTATGACCTGACATGTACTCAGTGCCACACATTATAAAACTACTAGAAATATAACTGAGATTTTTATAAACTGATGTAAATATTATAAACCTACAAGAAAAATAACTGGCACCTTTTAACTTTTACAAATAAGCCTATAAGAAAAAAATAACTGATACTTATTAACTTATATAAATAGCTATCAGTTATTAAAAATCTAGAAGTTATTTTTGTATAGGTTTATAATGCAAGGGATGAATAAACTTTATTTATAAATAAGACAATCGGGGGTGTATGGATAGCAATCAAGATTTTAAAGATATTGAAATGCAATCCTCAGATAAAGAGGTTTAGAAACTCTTAAGTGTACAGTACCCAACAGTAGTGCAATTTATAAGTCCTCTGTATGCCGTGTGGTTGTGATGAAGTAGACCCACCAGTAAGTAATAGCAAATTCATGCAACCGTCTTAGAAGAAAACATAGCAAGGCAGATTCCATTATTTAACCTAAAGAATAATGCAAAATAATTAGAGTATTAATAGTTGAGGGACATAGAGCTCTGCTGAGCCAATATTTCTTCAGCACCTTTCTATTAGGTTGTTGGAAAAGTCATGACATATTTTTCTATGCAAAAATGCATCATGACTTTTCTGATGACCCAATATATGCCTTGAAATGGGGATAGAAAGATGGATAAAATATGAACTCTATTCTCAAGGAATGAGATATCAAAGGAAATTACTTTAAAGTAACATAATTTATTGTAACCCATTATACAAGTCTAAAAGAAGAATGAATGCAGTAGTCAGCAAGAATTTGTCTATGTAGTTTCTTACTAGGCTAGGCAATGGCAATGGTGTAAACCTAGCCACTCTGCGGAATCAAGTGTTTTGGAGTCACCATTCATTGACTTAAAATGAAAAAGCCTTACTTTCCCCTTTCTGCCATTATAATGCCTTCTTCACTGTTCATTGCTCTATTCCAGGAAAGTTGGTGTAATAACTTCTCATATATGACTGTGACATGCTTCTTCCTTTGTATTTTATAGAATCATGGTACCTTGGGGCTGAAAGGGACTGGTCAAATCTCTGATTCTTGGATCACCTCTATAGCTTTCCTGACATGTGATTATTCAACCTCTACTAGAACGCTCCTACTTATAGGGAGATTACTTCATTGTCTCCCGAGGCAACCAAGTTGATTTTTAACAGTTATCTTGACTAATAGAAGTATCTTCTGTGTACTATGCCAAAATATCTGTTGCTGTTTAATTTTATATATACATATATAACACACAGAAATGCACACACATGCATGTATGTAATACATTATTTATACAAATGATCAGACTGAAATATGAGGGATCTCCAAAAACTTTGTCAAAGATATATGTTACGAAAACAAAAAACTATGCATGGATTTCAAAATTTGTTTGCTAAATAAACTAGTACTTTAATTCCATTTTTCACTTAACTTTTTGAAGTTCCCTAAGTAAAGGTAGAAACCCAGAGATTATCTATGACAAGCAAGGGCTCTGAGAACACTTTTGTATGTGAATTTTGACGTTCAGTTTTCAGGAGTTAGAAAACAAAACCCAGTACTTCCCAAGGAGGATAATCTAACAGGGGACCCTCCAAACACTCTGCTGGGATCCCTATCTGTGCTACAGTGATGAATCTTCCACCCTCAACCCCTGAGCTGTCTTGATGCAAAGCAGAGCAGGAGACAGATTCTCTCTCTGAGAAACTAACCATAAACCAGTTTTTGTGGATTTGTAACCCAAATCACATAACCATAAGGGCTTCATTTGTTTTAAAGTGGCCCCATATTTGTAGTCCCTCAGGTGTTTACAAAAAGCAAAGGTAAATCCTCTCTTGAAAAATCGGTCTTCATTTTAGATTTCAAAAATTTCTAATAAATATTTTTCAAGGAACGTGAGCAGAAAAGGTGCTCTCGTCCATGACTGTCTATTAGCTAATTGGAGAACAGCAATCCAGGACACTTACCTTTTCTCCAAGCCTTTGTCTGGTTCTCATGTTTTACCTTCCCGTTGCCATCTTTCTTTCTCTTTTCCATTATCCTTTCAAAAACATGATACAAGATGAGATAAATACTTCATGTGTATTTATGACAGAGATAGAAATGGGATTATTGGACTGTTGTTTGTAGGAATTGTCTTTTGGTTACTGCAATTATGTCTCAATACTGATCAGTTGTTTGCAACCCTTTGATAAATTGCCAGGAAAAGAACAACTTGGTTGTAAATACACACACACACACACACACACACACACACACACACACACACACACAAGATTATATATATCTTGGGTCCTAGGAAAAGTCATGATACTTTTTTGTCATCAAAAAAGTTGTGATGCATTTTTGCATAGAAAAATATGTCTTGACTTTCCCAACAATCATATATATGTATAATTTTTTAAAAGGTTTTTGCCATAGGGCACATGTACTCACTAGAGAGAGACAGACAGAGACAGACAGAAAGTGAGTAATCACCCCCACAGGGGGATGGCCACGTTGCAGTCCCTTCTCCATTCTCCTCCTGGGATTTCAGGTATGCATGCACATGCGCCCAGTGTAATTTACAAGCGCTCAGGTCTAGGACTCAAACTATGGTCGGCCATGTGGGAGTTCAGGACCTCAACCACTATGCCACCTGCTGGCAATTAATTTTAGATTCCCATTTTCTCTCAGTTTAAAGGATATGATTCTTAGTAATTAACTGCAAAAACTCCAAAGTCTGAGTTCTCATCAGTCTCTGGATGGATTTTGTGCTTTTGGAAAATGAAAATGATGCATTACAACTACGCTCTCAAGCATGCTTGATTCTTAGAAATGCATTGTCAATGAAATAAGTTTCAGAAGTCCATTTACAGCATGATAGTACTTCATTAGGTTCAGAAGAGAGGGTGCAATATTTTGCTTAGAAACATGTAGTAAAAGCTTTTAAAAAGGGAAATGAATGATGGATACAAAATTTAGTATGATGATTACCTTTCAGGAGGGTTGAAGGGAGAAAATATAATTTGATAGTTACTGAAGAAGATACATGTATCTGTTCATTGTAAATACATGTGTACATATATGCACATACTATTTAGTACAGCATGTACGAACAACCGAGAAATACACATTGGTGAGATGGGAAATAAATGGGAAAGGTGAGATTTTCTCTTTACCTCAAGCCTTTTCTGACTACTAAATTAGAATATCCGTGTAACTCCCTATCTTTAAGTTTCAAAATGTATACATAGTAGAGAATATAAATGAAAGAACTTTGCTTATATTGTTCTAAACTGTTTGTATTCTTAACATCACTACTGTCACAAATGAACTGTTTAGATGCCCTAACTTTCCAGCTAATTGGAGCACATATTCTGTCATTACAAACCTTTCCTCCCAGCCTTACCATTAAAAAAAGAAAAACAAAACAAAACAGAAGGAAATGTGATTTAATGGAGTTTAAAAGGGTAGAGGTATTTCTTCAGGTCAGTGACAGGACATTCACCTCCAAAGCTGGAAAGACTAGTTCAAAAGCAAGCAGTGACTTTCCTCATAATGAATTAATTGTGTGCCTGAACTATGATCCAAAAGGCCAGGTGGGCAGACCTTTATGCACTGATGGGTAGCCTCTCTGTGGCCCAGAACAAAAAATGCAACCCTGATGGCTAACATGTGGTTTTCTGCTGCATTGCATTTACAGAGCTCTGTAGCGTAATTCATTCTGGATAGGTGAGGAGATGGCAGAATTCAGACTGAGACCGTCAGCAAATTAATATCCTAGTTTCGGAATACTAAGTGCTTCATTCTACCTAAGCCAGAGGGGAGAGAGGGGAAAAAAAAATTCTCAGGCATACTTTATTAACTTTGATTTAGAATGTGGTGTTATTTTTATAGATGTGTTCTAAGATTAATGATGATATGTGATTTCGTAGCAACAGAAATTTTTTTAGGTACAAATTCTTTACATTGTACACTCAACTCAGAAACTCATTTGCATATTTCACTATTTTAAAAATGGACTTATTTTACCATGTTTGCTTATGCAACACAGGGTTTTCATTTTAAAATAGTATAACAGTATCTATTTGAATGAACTCTTTATTCTATGACCTGTAAGTTGAAAAGCATGTTACTACACCCGTTGATGGCATGGTGGTTAAGGTGGTTGAATCCCACATAGCTGGCCATGCAGTTCAAGTCCCAGACCTGGAGCCTTAAGAAACTTACTGTGTCATGTGTGCTTACACCCCCAAAACCCCAAAAGGAAGAGGAAGGGAGAAGGGATTTGAGGTGACCATTTCCCAGGGGGGATGCTTTCTAACTCCCTCTCTCTGTTTCTCTCTAGTGAGCACATACACCTTCCAGCAAAATTTTTAAAAATCAAATAAAATAAATTAACAAACATGTAACTTAATTCTTTCAGAACCCACGTAAACAAATGGGACTCTGCCCTCTTGGTGTTTGGAAAACAGGAAAGTAAGACTGTATCTGAGAACTTGAGCTTTTGATGAAAACAACAGTTTTTGTCTTGAAATTCATCTGTCCTGCCTTCTTTACATAAAGGGAAGACCTAAGTTGGAGAATATACCCAGAAGCCAAGGCTCTGGAGACAGCACAGTGTAGTGAAATATATGGTTGTTGCATTCGGAAGGCTCTGCATGAACCCCACTCCAAACCAATTACTTTGTGATCATTGGTCAAGCGGCCAGGCTTCTCCTGACTCTCAGATTCTCTAGTAAGAAGTAGTAAAACCTACCCAACAGCTTTGTTGTAAGGACTAAGTGCTTGCAAGGCAGGTGGTAAATTGTGAAGTTCAGAACAAGTTCATTTTTGTTGTCATTATCAGCGCTGACTCCTGGTATGGAAAGCACATTAGCATTTTTGTCTTCAAGCCA